AGGAAGGGGTCGCCCGTGAGGCGTCGGGGCTGTGGGGTGGTAGGGAGCACGAGAAGGCCCGAAGTGGGGTCTGTTTTGTGGGGGTTTTCCTCTTTTTATTTTTTAACCAGCATGTCTTTAGCAGTCCCTGCTGTCGTTTGCTGGCTAGCGGAGCTGGCTTACCCCCCACCTCCGTCCCTGTCCGGTGTTTGTGTTGGCAGACAGAAAATGGAGTGCTCCTGCCCTCGCTGCAGTCGGCCCTGCCCTTCCTGGACCTGCACGGCACCCCCCGGCTGGAGTTCCACCAGTCGGTTTTCGATGAGCTGAGGGAGAAGCTGCTGGAGAGGGTCTCTGCCATCGCTTTGGAAGGGAAAGTTGAGGAGAGGTTTGTTGGCAGTCTTGCTGGTTATTCGGAGTGAGCTGGGAGTTTTGGGTGAAAATTAGTTACAGTGGACGAGTAACGTCTGCAAAGGAGAGTTAGATGCCTGGGGATCAAGTTCCAGTGGCTTTGAGATGAGCCACTTTGGTCCTTTACTGTAACATAGTACTTAGTCTCTTGCTCTTACATGTTTTCAGATACAAGAAGCTGGAAGATCTCCTAGAGAAGAGCTTTTCCCTGGTCAAGATGCCTTCCATACAGCCTGTGGTAATGTGTGTCATGAAGCACTTGCCCAAGGTAAAACCGCTCTGCCGGTTAGCCTGTTCCATTACATCTCTGTTGTATAGCTTCTCTTAGCTGCTCTGGTGGCTGGGCTGCATGCTCCATCTGCAGACCTTCTGCAAGTTCAGTGTTAGGAACTGACTGAAGATTTACTACATTCTTGTATCTGGTAACAACTTAGACTAATTCAAAAAGCATTTTACCTTTTCGTAATCAGATGAGACTATTTCCCTATTTTATTCAATACATGCAGCTTCCTAAAAGTAGTCGAGTTCACCGATAGGTGAATTTTTCCACAGCTGATTTAAAAATCTATGATAAGTGGAAAATAAGATTTGAAGAATGCAACTGGAAGTAGACAGGAGTGAGATTCAGCTCTGTGAAACAAAAATCTCTAGGAGTAGCCTTATTAAAAGCATCATATTGTACTTAAGGTAACAGATTCAAAACTACTGCTGGAGCTTTTGTAAGTTGCTGAGTTTTGAAATGTCACCCCAAATCTTAGCATCATAGGTTTAAAGGAAGTCTTACTCTCTTTGAAAGAAATAAGGAAAAGCTTGGTGCGTAATTGGTTGTTGAAGTTAAGTGTCTTAGGACTGGCTTAGTGTTACAGGAGTAGGAAAGGGAAAAGATGAGTCTATGATATTTGCTTTTGTTTAGTTGCATTGTTGTGTAAATTACCAGACTGCCTGAGATTACGATTTGGATGTCTTCTGTAGTCAGTTGCTTCTTACTTGAACAGTCAGGCAGGTAAGCTGCTCTACGCTTTGGTAACTGCTCTGTTGATCATAGGTCCCTGAGAAGAAGCTGAAGTTAGTAATGGCCGATAAGGATTTGTATAAAGCATGTGCAGTGGAGGTGAAGCGCCAGATTTGGCAGGATAACCAGGCTCTGTTTGGTGATGAGGTATCTCCGCTGCTGAAGCAATATATCCTGGAGAAAGAAAATATTCTCTTCAGCAATGATATTTCTGTCTCGCACAATTTCTTCAGTCCGTCTCCCAAAACAAGACGTCAAGGAGAGGTAAGGACAAGGAAACCTCTTACAACATGCTTGTGAATGGAGTTCATCAGCTTTCAGTCAACCTCATCAAATAACAGAGTGTCCATTTCACCCACCCAACTTTGCTAGTAAACTTGTTTGGCTAGACAAAGTATTTGCAAGAAATACCAGGTCATTTTCTCCTACATACCTTGATGAAAGCAGCAGGAATTATTTTAATAATTACTCAGTGCTGTGATTAATTGATTAATGTTCTAAGCTGTTTATGAGCTTTTAAAAAAATAGCAAGGCGCAAAATTTTTTCCTTTATTGCTCAGTCTGGCTTTAATACCCCTCAGCTGTTCCGAAGACGAAGCATCTCTATCGAATCAGTTTGAATATCTTAAATTTCTTGGGATTTTTTTTTTTTAGCAGGACATAGCCCAACAAAAGCTTTTTTCTTTTTTTTTTTTGTAAAAATGGAAAGGAACATTGAAA